AAAGTTCTCGAAAATAATTAAGGTGAGTAATTAATATCAATGTTTATTTTCACAGATAATTTCTTTTTCGTACGATAATATCGTGGTTCCTATATATCTCTGTTTTTTACCAGATTTATAGGTTAACTTAACATAATTTCGAATTAGACTCTGATCTCGGGGTTAAAACCCAGACGGTTAGTCTCAAATCTATACATATAAAATGCTTTGTCCTGAATGACTGACTGACGGATCAACGCACAACCTTGTTAGCAATACTAACACATTTATTACAATTTAAAAATTTGTCTTTGTTTCCGAATGATTTTAATAAATATCTATTTTTTTCATGTTTAAAATGTTGCCGTTTTAATACGAGGGCTGCACTAAAAGTATCGGGAATAGAATATTTCCACTGTTCCTGTCATATTAAAATCTTTTTAATTGAAAAGTCCTTGGTTTTAAAAATCGAATACCATTTATTTATTTAAAAAAAGATTCTCGGTCTTGCCACAAGGTTTTATCAAACTTGTTTAGTCGTTGAGAAAATGGAATTGACTCGAGAAAATTCATGAGCGATGATTTATTATGACTTTCGAAGTGGTTTAACACAAAAACAGTGTGTTGACCGGATGATTTCTGCATTTGGTGATGAAGCCCCATCCAAAACCACGATTTATCGCTGGTTTGCTGAATTTCAACGTGGACGTGTCAATCTCAGTGATGATTCCCGTCAAGGTCGTCCAAAAACTGTAGTCACCTAAGAAAACGTTGATGCTGTGCGTAAGCTGATTGAGGAAGATTGTCTAAAGTTGCCTAGTTAAAGCCAACAAAAATTGTTCGTTCACGGAGTGTTGTAAAAAAAAATGGTGGCCACGTTTGTCTCCAAAACCGGTCATGTTACGACTATTCCTCTTAAGGGACAAAGAACGGTTAATGCAGAATGGTATGCTAGAATTTGTTTGCCACAGGTCGTTTCTGAACTCCGTAAAGAGAACTGCAACCGCCGCATCATCCTCCATCACGACAATGCGAGTTCTCACATCGCACACAGAACAAAAGAGTTTTTAGAGCAAGAAAACATAGAATTTAGGTGTTCGAGCCTAAAGGCTTGATCCACCTTGAGACTACGCATGTACATTCTGACGTTATTACAGCGTGAAGTTAGCTCTTTTTGATAGTAGCGCCCTCTGTCGCTAGTGTGAAGTGCATCAACTTCACTCTAATGGAGGGGACTCATTCAGCGTGGGCGGTGTATTGGTCAGTACGCTTTTGCATTCTGACAAGTCAACACGTATACAAAAGCCGATATTTTTCTCTAGGTAAGTAATATTTTCAACAATCAGTCGACTACAACTATATATGGTCAACTATAATAATACAACATTTTGTCGTACAGAAAGTCCTAGTGCGCCCTTGAGCCACGAGATGCAGTGCGCCCTTGTGCCACGTGCGTGGGTTGACGACTAACCTCAAATCAAATACCGTGCGTCGTAGTACCACGGTACGACGTCGTATCACTGATACGTTAGACAAACGAAACATCAATTCGATTAATGTCATACGACCGTAATACGACACCCGATACGTCGTATCATCTTCGATAGGACAAACCCGAAACGTAGTTGATTCGACACTAGTCTCATACCACAACCGGCTGGTATGACATAAGCCGCATAAAATTGATACGACAATGATGACCTATACAAGTCAATGAGCTATTCTGACTTAATTCATCTCATTGCAGAAATATGGACGCAACCGCTTCCTGCTCGAAGACAATGACGATGGGCGAATTGTCAAGCCTTGTACCAGAAGGAGACGAACGGCGTTTTAAAACAGTCTTAGAGCTCGTACGAAAATACTACCCTCCAGGTTGGGAAAAATGGGAAATCCAAAATTACTCATTAGAAAACCTTTTTGGAGGCAGCATGTCACCAGAAAGAAAATCCGATTTGCGCTACCTACAGTGGAACTTATTCAAGCGATCTACCCTAATTCGCCAAATGCTTCGGAAAGATCATTCAAAGACTTGAAGCGCCGCCTCTTAAACTGGTCTTTTGGCCGCGCGTTACTATATTCGCCACATAATATTATGGAAAAAATCCATTATAAGTCTCACAACGCCTTCATGGACACAGTTGTAAAATTGAAACCTCTTATACTCTCGAGACAAAGTGCTTTCGAGCGCCTCCAGGGCATCAAAAAAACAAGCACATCCACAGAACGTTCGATCTCACCACAAGCACGTGCAAAACGAGTACGATCGCCTTCATCAACTCAAACAGATTCTCCAAAGAGGCAATGTCCTACTTCACTCGCTTTATCAGCAAAAAGCGAAGACCTACTCTCACTTCTTTTAGAACAACAAGTACGACAGAATAAGATGTTTGAGCATATCGTACAACTAAGTCAAAATTAAGAAGAAAAGATGTCTAAAATTGAAATGAAGCTAGAACATAGATCACCTGACAGTGCCCCAGAGGATCTTAACGTATCATTTGCTGACAGCACTCAGCCAGAAAATTTTCAGGATGAAGATGACGAAGAAGAAGAGTTGAACGCAACACCGCCTAATATCTGGTCTGGTCACTTAAAGTCAACAGCCATTTAGCACTCGCTACCCCTTTCTAGCACAGCGTGTCAATCCTCGAACGAATCGACAGTACTCTGGCAGCTATAAGTCATGGTCTTCTACGACAACGTAAGCACTTCGAAGAATGTTGTCAAAATCTTAATCCAGAGCTTAAAAGCCAAGTCAATAAAGAGCTCTTAGGTCCTGAATCTAAATTCAAAAAGACATCGGATGCTCTACTTCAATATACATGCGGGAAGAGATCTGAAATAATTCATCAAAGACGACAACTATACAAAGCTTCTAACAAAGCACTAAACGAAATCCTCCATGACATCCCACCGTCTGATACTCATTTATTTTCCGAAAAATCACTCAGCGAAGTGGTGAAAGATCATGGAGGACCACATAAGATGTTTCCCGCAAAATCCAGAAAACCTTCGAAAAATAAACAAACCGCATCATCAAGGAATTTCTACAACAACAGAAAGAACTTCACCAACAAAGAGCCATTTCGTGGAAACACACGTAAAGACAACAGAAAAACTACGAAACCTCAATACAACAACTCAAACAGCTCCAACAAACGATCGACCAATCAACATACCAAAAAGCTCTGACTCATTTCAAGCGGGTCAACTAGCCCAATTCACCCCATACAATTTTATCAATGATTCAAAATTACAGAATACCTTTCCTACAAAAACCACCTTTAATGACTTTAAATACAAAAGCACAAGCAAAAGTGACAAACGAAAATCCAGATGTTATATCGACCCAAATATCTGAACTTTTGAAATTAAAAGCAGCTATCCCCATAAGGTACTCAAGAGGATTTGTGTCTCCAATATTTCTGAGAAAGAAACCGAATGGAGATTACAGAATTATAATAAATTTAAAGAACCTCAACAATTACGTGAGCACTCCAAGATTTCACCTCCCAAACTTATATTCAATGCCAAATCACCTGTGAGAGAAAGACTACATGCTGAAGGTAGACATTTCTCAGGCATATTACCACATCCCAGTCACTCAAGCACCCAGCAAGGACGCTTCGCGGTAGAGCTTTTGGAAAGTCTCGGATGGTGCGTGAACCATTCCAAGTCTATAACTACACCTACGCGCTGCGTCGAATACTTGGGTGTAATCTGGGATACAGAGAGAAACTTGAGGTACTTGCCACCAGAAAAAATAAAAGCATTTCAAACGCACATCACGAAACTTCTCAAAGTGGGCCACTGGAACTGGTGGGACGCAAAAAGCATAGCAGGGAAGCTAAATTTTGCTGCAGAAGTAGTACCTTTAGGTCGCCTACACTGCAGAAATATCCAGAGATCGTCAACACACCTACCAAAGTCAAACCGTCGCAAAGTAGTGACCATCGACCAAGCCGCCAGGGAAGACCTCACATGGTGGACTCGAAATGTACACAAATCTTCTCCTATTCACCGGAAACCAGCATCAGCCTTCATAACGACAGATGCAGCAGACACAGGGTGGGGAGCTTTAATGAACAGCAAGAAATTCAAAGGAAGATGGAACGACAAACAAAAGTCTGGCACTCCAACCAGAAGGAACTCTGGGTACTTTATGAAGTTCTCAAAAGAGAGAAAAAGTTCCTGAGAGGGAAATCGATTATCTTCCAATCCGACAACCGAACAACCATACCCTATATCAACAAACAGGGGGGGACGAAATCAACTATCCTATTGAAGACAGCTTCGAAGATACTAAACCTAGCTGCGCAACTGAAAATCACTATAACAGCCAGATATCTCCCAGGGAAATTAAATGGCATTGCCGACAGCTTATCAAGGCAAAATGCTCTACCAGAATGGCACTTAAGCGAAGCAATTCTTGGCCAAGTCTTCCAGAAGCTTGGAACTCCACAAGTAGACCTGTTCACTTCAAAACGTTCGGCAGTCGTATCCAATTATGTAACCGAAGATGTCTCGGACCGGAACAGCCTATACACGGACGACTTCAGTCGAACATGGAATTTCAAACTGGGGTGGGTCTTCCCACCGCCAGCACTAATACCAAGAGTTCTTCGCCATCTCGACAAGTGCACGGGGACTTACCTGCTTGTAACCCCGGAATGGACAAATGCATTCTGGATGCCGATGTTGGAAAATAGATCTACCAGCAAACCCCTCCGGCTGGAGAATCTGCGGACTCACCTTATAGACTTACGGACTCAAAAACCTCCACGGGGGATAGACACAATAGTTTTGCAGGTGTGGCACATACAGGTTGGTCCAATTTCGTTAACCCCTGGCCTACCGAACTCAAACACGTAGTGGAAAAGTCTTGGCGACAATCTAGCATCAAAACATACCGACCAGCTTGGGAAAAGTGAGTCGCATGGGCCTTAAAAGAAGATGTCTCTGTGAAAGAACCAAAAGCAACAGACTTAGCACGTTATCTCGCATTCCTACTTACCAAGATGAAGCTGGCGCCGAACACCATAGAACTACATAAATCAGTAGTATGCACTTTTACGAATCCATATGCTACCGCATCGATCGGCTCGCACCCTCTGGTCAAACACATGCTGAAAGGCATCAGCTTGGAGGGGCGGAAACGTCCTAGTAGACTTACCTGGAACGTAAACGAACTTACTGAGTGGTTAAAGTGCTACAAATTAAATGAGGATACCATCTTTCAAGTCAGCAGACATCTAGCTATCCTGTTACTTCTAGCCACAGGTCGAAGGATCCACGATCTAACTTTATTAAATATAAGCGAAGAGTTCTTTGAAATAACAGATAAAAGTATTAAATTATGGCCTAAATTTGGCTCAAAAACAGATTCCTGTACATACATACAATCAGGTTGGGAAATAACAATGAACCCAGTCAAAAACTTAGACCTCGTTACCTGGACTAGACGCCTACAGGAAATATCAGAACCAAGACGAAGAAACAAAGGTATTACAAATTTGTTTATAACAACCCGCGGTAAAGTCGCCCCAGCTTCAAGATCAGTGATAGCGGGATGGATACGCACACTGTTCAAAGAAGCCAACATAAATGCCTCTCCAGGTAGCTGCAGATCAGCCGTTGCTACCGGTAATTGGTTACGCGGGTATACAAACATAGAAGAAATTATGAAAAAGGGTAATTGGCAAACTGCAAAAACATTCTTCAATCATTATCTCAAACCAATCAACCCTAAAGTCCCAAATACAATCAGTAATAACCTTTCAGATAATTTTGCGTTAATCGACTGACTTATTATACTTGTGATAAGTAGTCAAAGTTCCTTTAATCAAGAATAACAATTATTTATTTTTGTTAGCATGATGATTATATTACTTTGTTTAAGAATAAATACACTTTATTCATACATTCCCTTTTTATTATATTATAAGTAAACTTTAACAGTTAATCACAGTACGCTCATTCAGCGCCGGCAGATAAGAAACACGTCTCAAGGTGGATCAAGCCTTTAGGCTCGAACACCTAAATAGCAGCTTTTTCCCCCCGAAGGGCAGAAAACGCTTATTTAGGTTTCAGCCGTTCGGCTTGATCTACCATAATTTGCAGTGCCTTGCCGGCTTGCAAATTGTACTGACCAATATACCGCCCGCGCTGAATGAGTCTCCTCCATTAGAGTGAAGTTGATACACTTCACACTTGCGACAGAGGGCGCTACTATCAAAAAGAGCTAACTTCACGCTGTAATAACGTCAGAACGTACATGCGTAGTCTCAAGGTGGATCAAGCCGAACGGCTGAAACCTAAATAAGCGTTTTCTGCCCTTGGGGGGGAAAACGCTGCTATTATTAGACCATCCGCCGTACAGCCCCGACCTAAGCCCTAATGATTTCTATACTTTCCCTAAAATAAAGGATAAATTGCGTGGACAGAGATTTTCATCACATGAAAAAGCTGTGGACGCCTACAAAACGGCCATTTTGGAGACCCCAACTTCCGAATGGAATGGTTGCTTCAATGATTGGTTCCATCGTATGGAAAAATGAGTCAAATTTCGCGGAGGATACTTCGAAAAGCAATAAATACATTTTTAAATAGTAATGTTGTGTCACTTCCTTGATTCCCGAAAGAGCAATGGCAGACTTTCGTACATAAAATTAGTTGAGAAGAAATGGTAGCGTCTATATATTAAAAATATCTTAAAATGTTAAGCGTCAGTCCCTTAATAACTCTGTCAAAGAATTGTGTCCTGAGAAGGTGTCAAAAAAAAGATATATATATTTGAACCTTTTTAGGTTATGTCCTATGTCACTTGGAAAAATTCATGCTTCCTGTGATTGTTTGATGTTAGCTTAATACATAATTGAGAGTTTTTATATTATTGTATATCTATTATATATTTGCATACTATAAATGTATATTTCTGGCATGGCTCTAGAGCCTTTGTATCATAGTGACATTCTCAGAAGGGCTAGAACCCAGAGCCGTAAAGCCAGTAAAAAAAACAGTGACATTTTGCTAGTGTTGGCATAACATTAAATGAAATTGTTACATAGTACTATGATTGAGATAATGTATTATTGTAGGAAATTCTTTGTAAGAGACTTATTCTCAGCCATATCTCTTTTATTTTTATTATTACTGATAGTACAGTTATTACTAATAATAACTTAATATAAAAATATTTTGTGTGTTGTGTTGGTAGTCTTACAAAGTATATACGAAAATAGTATGAATATACTAAATGGCAACACTTGAACAGAGTAAAATGATTTAAGTCATTTGATATTCCCAAAAATGTTTGGTTTTTTTCTGTGGCTTTAATTAAAATACATTTTTAGTTGAAAAATCATAGAAAAATAATAAAACTCATTTTATATATAACTTATTTCTAGACGCGATAATTTTTGTCAACTATTTTACTGCCATTGCTTTTTTCAGTGCCGCCCTCGTATTTGTAAAAATGTTAAAATGGTAAATATGGGAGTATATAATGTGGCAACTTAATTAAAAAAAAAGAGATTATGGAGTCATGAGACGCGGGTTTTTTTAAAGAAAACATTGTGTATGTTATATAAAACAAATTTTTAATGAGAGATACATATAAGAACCTTTTAGTAGGTAGTCGGTGTTTATGAACCTGTTTGAAGAGAGAGGAATATATTGTTTGTTTAAAATGGTGATTAATATATTTTTGTCGAAAATACCTGTGAACAGCATATAGGTAGGTGAAACCTAACTAAATTTAAATACATATAAAGTCAAAAATCTGTTTCTGTTGATAAAAAAGGGTTTTAAATAGTATATTGTAGGTACATCTTAATAGTTAGAGAGTTTTTAATTAATATCTATAGATCCTATTTAATATAATATATTTGTTTTATACATAATGATAATAATTATGTAGTAATTAAACACTTATAATGGGTGCTGTTATGTGACTACTCGTGAACATTAAATGATTAAAAGTTGTACATAAATTACAAGTAAAAAAAGCTCCATGTACTATAATTACATAAATGTTTTAACTATGCACTGTTATAAATTATTAAATTATCGTTTGTTACATAATTTATAATGATAATCTAAAACTATGGAATTAACTGCATTAAAACTGAATGAGAATCATGTTAAGCTATAGTTATTCAACAAACACTCCAAACAAAACCATATATATACCTATATTCAGAACATATTTTCATTTATGATCTATTTTGTTAAATAATACAAACAACTCCTACTAATATACTGATACACAGGCTGCACTAAAAGTATCGAGAATGGAATATTTCCACTGTTCCTGTCATATTAAAAATTTTTTAATTGAAAGCTCCTTGGTTTTAAAAATCGAATACCATTTATTTATTTAAAAAAAGATTCTCGGTCTTGTCACAAGGTTTTGTCAAACTTGTTTAGTCGTTAGAAAATGGAATTGACTCGAGAAAATTCAAGAGCGATGATTTATTATAACTTTCGAAGTGGTTTAACACATGATTTCTGCATTTGGTGATGAAGCCCCATCCAAAACCACAATTTATCGCTGGTTTGCTGAATTTCAACGTGGACGTGTCAAGCTCAGTGATTTCTATACTTTCCTTAAAATAAAGAATAAATTGCGTGGACAGAGATTTTCATCACCTGAAGAAGCTGTGGACGCCTACAAAACGGCCATTTTGGAGACCCCAACTTCCGAATGGAATGGTTGCTTCAATGATTGGTTCCATCGTATGGAAAAATGTGTCAAATTTCGCGAAGAATACTTCGAAAAGCAATACATACATTGTTAAATAGTAACGTTGTGTCACTTCCTTGATTCCCGAAATTTTCAGTGCCGCCCTCGTAATCTGGCATATCAGTCACAAAGAAAACAAAATATTTATAAATGTTTAGAATGTAATTAATAAATAATATATTTCATACCACACTAACTTCTAAAACTATGTGGAAATACTTTTTATAAGCCAGATAGACCAACAACAAAAATAATTCATTATCTATTTATTTTTATGGTTTTAAATTTAAGTTATTATGCAAGGAATATTTGTAGTCAGTTGTTGATTCGTTGCTATAATGATGATTGCTTGCAAATTTATTTGTTTATGAAATGTAGTGAAAATTGTATTGTTTCGTTTAATATTACTTGTTATTACAAGTAATATTAAACGAAACAATACTTTAGTCACATTATAAATAACTTATGGGCATTGAATTATAATAAATATAAGACTTTTTATTTTATGAAAAACTCATACTTATTAATTGCTGAATTCATTTTCCTACTCCCTTTCTTATCTATATCACCATCATTTGACCTTATAATACTATAGAGTATAGACTTTATCCTTTGATCAGACTTTAAAATAACCCAGATCCTTGTATACATATTGGCGATTCATTATGTCGGACTCAGACCAGACTGCGTATACCCCAGCACTTAATAGTGATATGGTACAAAAGAGAAAACAATTTAATAAAAGCTCAACTGCAAGAAGTCAGCGAAATCAATCAAAAATTTCAGGTACGATCTAGATCTAGGTGCAGGTCACGAAATCGTCGAATGACAGGTGGTAACAGTCGGAAGAGTTCACATGGCACATGTAGTAGGAACAAACGCCAAAATAGAAGTCGCTCACATGTTAAGCGCCATCGTAGTTTCCAAAGAAAAATCTGCACGCTCTTAAAGTACTAGTACGAATAGTGCATGGATTAACTCGTGTCATCAAAGATATTTAGTAGCTCTGAGCCCTCTTCGTCAAATGACTTTCGGAAAAACGTAAGACGCCATGGAATTAAGCGCCACACCTATCATGCTCACCGTAGACGAAGCAACACAGGCAGTGGAGTAATGGAAGGTTTTATTAATGCAATCAGCAATCATGGTCGGAATACCATGATTGCTGATTGTGCCCAGGATGTCATACCAATTTTCGATCCTAGTCATAAAACTTAATTGACAAAATCTTGGCTTAAAAAAGTGCAATGAAACTGCTGCTATATACGGATGGAGTGACACAAGCAGACAATTTTTCACGCTTTACCGAAACTATCTGGCTTGACACGGCATGGGTATGAAGGGTTGCCTTCATTTAATCTGTCATGGAAACACTGGCAGAAACAGCTGTGCAAACTTTTCCAGGATTATGCTGACAGTTTAACGGAAACGCTGTCTTGAAAGTCGTAGGGAAGAATCACTGGAAGAGTATTTTTATGACAAAGCTAAGTTATTCAGTCATTGTAAAATGAAGGGAAAAGCGGCAGTTGACTGTAAAATACATGACATTTTTTTATTATAATGTAAAATTAAATGCCCAAGGTGCTAATTTTAAAACTCCGGACAAACTTCTAAAATATCTGCGCAGTATATCAATTAAAACTTCAATAAAGACTTCAAGAAGCTCACTTTTACATTAAGAGCTCCCTCAAGTTCTATAAAAATAACTGAAAGAAGTAAAATAATAGACTATTTAATGCAACATCTATTAATCGCACTTGCTATAATTGCTCTGAGCTAGGACACACCTAAATGCCACAAAGAACTTCAAAAATGCTTAAAGTGTAATCGCCTGAAGGCTGTATACTGCAGACGTGACTTCAACATAAAGAACAGGAGATAAATGTAAATGCAGAAGAGAAATGTATTACAGCTCAGGACGAAACGGGAGAAGATACCGACATTTGCATTTGTAGATTTTGGAAGCTATCCATTAAAATAGTATAGCTAAAGAACTGAATTTACTTATAAATTGTGATACTTTGCCACTTGTAAGGGGATTTGCATTTGGTAATTTACCAC